TGGAGAAAAGGGGTATTGATTTGGATACATTTGGTTTCCTTGCGCCGGATGCGGTGGACTATTCAAAAGAATTACTTTTACCATACAAAAAAAATTTAACAGCACAAATTGTTATCCGTTTGCCATCTGATTTCGTTGTATGTTTTCCATCTCACTTTGTTGTATGATGAAAACTAGTATATATTGTTACTTTCCATTGATTTGGATTATACTCTTTATCCAATTTCCGATATGGAGATTGAGACATTAAATTATCTTTTCATTCTTTGCACCTTGTTAAAGAGTTATGGGATAAATACTTCGTTAGTGTAACATCATGTATTTGTGATCCTCGTTGATTAAGGAGAGATTGACTAGTTTGGACTATATACAATTGTACATGATTGTAAGGAAATCAAGCAAAATTTTCATGTAGTCACATTGGTGTTTTTCTGGGTGCTTTGGAGACATAAGAATGACACTTATTTTGTATCCTCCAATAGGAATGTCAAAAAGTCCCGTGAGATTCCGAATCTGTGGGACCCAGATCCCATATGGGGGATATTTATAAAAATAATCGAGGGCGGGGCAGTGTTAACCCCCATTTTAATTTCGGGGGTGGGGTGGACATAGGTAGTCTCGTCATGAACTCTCATGGGGGCCCCGATAATATATTGCATATTTGTATATATTAATAATATAAATATAATAAATAATAGAAATGATTTTGAGCTTCTAAAAAGTCAACAAAAAACATCATGTTTTTAATTTGTTAGTATAATTTTTTTGAGATGTAATAATATTTTTGTTTTTAACCTGTAACATCATGTTATAAATAATTATTTTTAACCTAAATATATCTTCTTTAAGCCCCAAAAAAACAACTTTATTTAACCCAATGAAAAATATATCTCAAAATCAATCGAGAATGGGGAAACGAGGGCAGGGGTAATCCAGGAATTCGGGGGAGGGGAGGCTAGAAATTTCGGCGGCGGGGGAATGGGGAAAATTTGGGAGTGGGGCCAAGGGATTCAATCTTAGTCTCATTTGCTCCTATTGACATCCTTATCTCTAAGGCCAAGCTTAGGAATAACATAATTTTCCGTAATATTTTGATACTAGGATTTTTCTTGGATTTAGTATAAGGCCATCTAAAATTGTTTAGCTTGGCTTAATAATCATTCTTCGGCTATAAAAAGGATTAACTTGGTACACTTTAACTAATTTGTTGATAATCTTTCTCTTTTTAATTGATCATTGCTATCTTTCCAAAAAATTAATGTTTTGTTATGGAAAATTGGCCAGGAACGGATTTCAACTATAGAGAGGCTTCCGGTTAGAGCCATCGATATTCCTTATCGTTCGTCTGGTTTTTTTGTGACTCGTAGGTGGAATGATGACCCATATTTTAATTGAGTGTATCCTTCCTTTGACATCGTCACCTCTTTGGGATCATATTGCAGCTTGGTGACAGATTCCTGTGCCAGAGATGTTGTCGATTCATATTTCTTGGGCTCTTGGGCTGATGGTGCTAGTCTATCTTCTTCGTCGTACAGGAAAGCTTTTGATGCGGCCATTATTATCACATTTTTGGTTCCTCTAGAGTTTCCATAATAATTTGGTTTTTGGAGCGGCTAAACCTTTGGAATCCATTATATCTGATGATGTTGTTCGTAAGTTTTTTTTTTCTTTAAATTTATTATTATTTTATTATTTTTATTTTTAATTATTTCTTTTTTCAATAGGTCTAAGAAATGTTCATTGAACCAGATGGGTTTGCTACAAAACCCAACCCTTTCATGTATCTCTTTGTAATGTTTCTTTGCTAGCTTTTTTCTAGTCGTTTTCTAATAAACCGTTGTTCCAAAAAATTCAAACCATTTTAAAGATAAATGGATTGTTATAATACTATTTTGATTTTTCTTGCAGATGTATGTAGGAGTTGATGAAATGTATGTATATAACAAATTATGTGCTAATACGACTTGGAGTTGAATTCAAGTTGTAGGTGTATATTAGTGTATCTCACATCTATACGACACATCTTTCTTATGCTTCTATATATATTGGAGTCTCCCATTTATTCTTAAGGGTTTTTAGAGAGTTAATATGAAACTCCACATATATCTTATATAGTATCGGAGACAGAACACCCTAATGGCTTAAGATCGTCTATCCTCATCCATCTTCTGTCTCTAAAGGTGAACGTTAGTGTATCCAATATTGGTGCGACACAATCTCATAAGTGTCTATATTTGTTGGAGTTCCTCTCTCTCTCTGCAATGGTTCATTTGGAGAGATAATCTTGGACTCCATATATATCTCTATATATGTTGGAGTGTTAGTGTATCCGAGATGTGCGACACGTCATTTATGTCTCTATATATGTTGGAGAGTGTTTTTATATATGTTGGAGTCTCTTATCTCCCCAAAAGGTTTTTTCTAACGAGTTAATATGAGATTCCATATATATCTCGGTACATCAATATTTTTTAACAGGAAAACTTTAAAATCCATTAAGAGTCTTTGTGCTATAAAGTAATGTATCCATGATAAAATATTTGATTGCTAGTTTCCTTTATGGCTAGTGAAGCATCATGATCAAATATTTGACGGCCACTTTTGTCTCTATGGCTAATATTTGAAATCGAAATATCAAGACTATGTTATAATGTACCACTATAACATTAAACACAAATTTTGAAGGGTTAAACACATACAATAGTTAATATAGTTTTTTTTTATATAAAATAATAACATACAATAACAGGTATCATTACAGTTAGTTTAGTTTACACAAATCAATGGATCAAAGTGTTACGCTTTTTTGTACAATGTGATGAAGTACATTGTCCGCAATAGTTGAAAACTTATATTATTCAAATCCTACGTTTGAAGACAAACGACATTTACCAATAGATTAAAAAGCCCAACTGGTAACAAATAGAATATTATTACCAATTGAAAATCGTTCGAAATGATAACATTTTGATTCGTATATGATGGTTTTGCACTTGTAATCTTGTGGTCCACAACTTATGTAAACATCTTTATAACAAAAAACTAATAGAAAAGGAAACGCAGAAAGCAAAAAAGGTGCAAGCAATGTGTGCGTTGATTCTGGCACATTAGGCTTAGGTGTGGGTGTGGGGGACCATCCTTCACTCTTGTATTTTTTATAAGATAAAACTTGGTTTAGCCGTAAGTATTGTAAGGTAAAATCTTGCCCAATCTGTTGTGTTGTTGATTATAAGGTTACATACAAATTTTATAAGATCATATATATATATATATATATATATATATATATATATATATATATATATATATATATATATATATATATATATATATATATATAATGTTAGGTTCATGTGAGACGACCTAATTTTGTGAGACCGTGAGACACATTTTTTTTATTTTTTTTTAAATTTTTTAAATTTTTTAAATTTTTTTTAGTTAATTCAAGTTCCGAAAATAATATTTAAAAAAAGAATTTTTTGATATTTCCATTTATTTTGCATTTTAAAATTATTTTTAGAATATGTACAGTGTAATATTCTATTTAAAATATTTCACGTATTTTTCAAAAAAAAAAAAAAGGATTTTTTTTAATTTTTTTTAGTTAATTCAAGTTCCGAAAATAATATTTAAAAAAAGAATTTTTAGATTTTTCCATTTATTTTGCATTTTAAAATTATTTTTTAGAATATGTCAGTGTAATATTCTATTTAGAATATTTCACGTATTTTAAAAAAAAACGAGATTTTTTTATTTTTTTTAATTTTTTTTAGTTAATTTAAGTTCCGAAAATAATATTTAAAAAAAGAATTTTTGGATTTTTCCATTTATTTTGCATTTTAAAATTATTTTTAGATTTAGTCTCACGGTCTCACAAAATTAAAATGGTCTCAAATAAATAAATATATATATATATATATATATATATATATATATATATATATATATATATATATATATATATATATATTTGAAAACAATATGTTTATCTTCCTATATTAATCACGGAATTGATTGGTTTATGACAATGTTATCAAGATCGAGATCCTATGTAGGATCGTTTTTGGGTTTGCAAGATCGGAAGATCCTACAAAATAAAACATAATTTTAATTCATAATTATAAAACATGAAAAATATCTCAAACATTTTTTTTTCCGTTTAAAAGCTATAGAAAGTTCCAAACATTAGTCACAACTCAACACAAATGATAAATGCTAAACTGGCAAAGGCAAACAGACATACAATGATAAATTAATTTTTTCCATTAAAAAAAAAAAAAGATAAGGTAGGATCGGATCGGACCAGGATCCTACGATCATACCTACGATCTTAGGATCTTACCTGCAATCCTACCCCAAATACGCTCATATATGATCCGACTCGCTTTTCATATATAGAATCGTAGAATCGTACTACGGTCAAAATCATGATTTTGACAACCTTGGTTTATGAATAATTTTTATTAGAAGCCTTGTTCAAATTAAACAGTTCTTCCGGATTGAAAAATTACAATTACAATTACAATGAAAATTAAGAACAAAAAGATGAAAAACATAAAGATTAAATAGGACATCTTGAGGCTTGTATTAGACATGATATCTTAAGAGTTAAGACAATTAGTTTTTTAAGATATGCATTTTCATTTTTTAAACTAGACAAAATTACAAAAAAATTAATAGTCCAATTTTGGATACCTTATACGGTTTTGGTCCTTAATTGATATATTTGTGTGTTTTTTGTCCAGATCCAACCTAAAATAATAAATATACTCTTAGATAATTCCTTTTTAATTCTTCTAATTAATTACTTATTTTTTTTAATTAAAATCTCTCTCTCTCTCTCTCTCTCTCTCTCTCTCTCTCTCTCTCTCTCTCTCTCTCTCTCTCTCTCTCTCTCTCTCTCTCTCTCTCTCACACACACACATATAATTGTTGGTGTTCTCCATTTTCTTCCCATCAACCCTTTTGCAAATGGGTACCGATGTGCCAAAACCCAAAAACTAAAGAACACACATCCAAGAAGACGAATCCATTGTAGTAGATTGTTCGGTTGAACCCTACAGATATTGTAATCAAGTTCACCATCATTATAGTTATCGATATGATCATTAGGGATGTCCATTTCACATTTCATAGTGTACAGATCTACAAACTCATCATCTCCATCAACTTTATAGGATTTTGACGTCAATGTGAACGGGATTTCAATTCCGATAACCACGTTCAAAAGTCCTTTAAGTCCTTTAAGAGCAACAACCAAATGAGCGCTAGTACCTCCAATCAACCAAAATGTTCATTTATACATTATTCTTCTAAATCAATCCCTAAACCTAGAAATGATATGAAAATACACAAACGAAATCATTTTAGAAATCCATCTTCAGAACCTATTACCCATAGGCGGTTTTTAGATTTAGAAATCGATTTCCAGTTCTAGAAACAAACCCATAAATTCGACTGTCCTTGGAGAGACAACCCTAAAAATCGTTTGTTTATTTGTTTGTTTGTGTGCGCGTGTGTATGTGTTAAAGGATTTGTATGTGTGTGTGATCCCCGATGCAAGTCAACTGTGGGTCCAAACATGGCTTTTTACTATCCAATATGTATTTTTTGAACCAACCCTTGTTGGATGCTATGAAACAATAAAGGGTGTTCATTTCACAAAATGTTTTATAAGGGAAATAGAAATATGTTGAAAGAAATTAAATTTAGAGGCATTGATTCAAAAAAATCGATATCAGTTGGCAGGAAATGGAATGGAATTCAAGAGCTAGAAGTGAGAAAGCATATAGAGAAGCAAAAGGTGTTTCAAATAAAAGAATTCAATTTCATGGGTTGTAGGATGAAATGTCTGCATCCATTGGTCAAATGATTTTGTAAAATTCAACGGAATTCAATTCCGTACTAATTTGCAACATGTGATTGGAATGGAATTGGTCAAATGATTTTGTGCTTTGATGGAAAAGATTCATTAGACATCTTGCATAAAATTCCTATACTAACTTGCCTCAACTAGATAGGCATCATATTGAGGGAATAAGATTCACTTTCAATATGACTAGAAATAGGAAAGCCTATCAATAATTCTCAAAATGACTGGAATGGAATCAGATTCTCAGGATCAAACTAAAACAGATTCTCAATTACCTCTTGAACAATGGTTTAAAGTTCAAGAATATGATTCCACCTAATATCCAAAATCACTTTCACAGGTTACCATACAGATTTAACTACTGCAAACATGTACCTTAAACTACTTGCTATATCAGGTTAAATCATAATGGAATTGCAGAATGTTTACTTGCATTCAAATTGTTTTAGATGAAAATGTACAGATTAAATTAGCAGTATTGGTCAGCATTAGATGATTTTGTACTATATAAAAGAAATGATTAGACAGTAGATTCAACACACAAATTCCACTAATTGAAATGGGATCTAACAGAATATTGCAGATTGTATTTAATTTTAAAGAAAAAACATCCACACAAAGATAGGTCTGAAAGCAGATCATCGATTATTGAATTTAATAAGCAATACAACCAAGAACATAAACCATAAGCTTACACATAAAGATCTTTATACTTCATAATCATAAAGCAAATCATATTAAATGAGCTCATTTTGTATAAACGCTAATCTTTACCTTTTTCTTCAAACTCGCACAATATCTGTTGTGATAGCCCAATCCAAACCAAAGATTTCGTTCCAGACGCTGTAATCCGAATTTGAAACAATTAGACAAGTGGCAAAATCTCATGAAATCGAAAAAGAGCGAAATAGTTTACAAACCCTATATTTTGTCGATGTCTTCGTCTTCAAATTCAATGTAATCATCACCGGCGTTATCATCCTCCTCATCAAGTCCACCAGCGATACCTTCATTAAGCCTAATATTCTCTGGTAACTCACCGTAAGCCTTCAACAGCCTGGCCTCATCAGGCATGTACTTGAGGATGACGTCAGCTTTGTCGTCCTGGTAATCACGTAGACCGACTAAGATGATGTCACCGGCGGCGATCCAGACCTTTTTGTGCATCTTACCACGGATGTGACAGAGACGCTTGGTGCCGTCGATGCACATGGCCTCGCAACGGCCGTTTCCGAGCATACGGAGTACCTGGGCGTACTCTTGACCATCTTCCTTAAACACCAACTCTCGCTTCTCATCATCGGCTTCGTTCTTACCCCTCTTGCGATTCTTTCCTCCCTTTCCCTTGTTCTTCGGCATGGCGTTGATCTACAGGGAAGTGGAAACCCTAGGATTTTAATTTTGATTTTGCTATCCCTGTCTGTGTATGTGCGTTAACTCCCCCAAATTGATAGCTTATATAGGCCTCACGTTTTTATCAAATTTACTCGATTCAATAGGTATATTTGTTTAGTTATTTATAAGCTTATAGCTTTTAACTCATTAAAATTAATTAAAATGATAATTTAATTAAATAGGATGTTTTTAATGTTTATATTTTAAACTTCAATGGTATTTGTAATAAAAAACAATGATGGTATTTTTTTTGAGCTTTTTGAAAATTTTATTACCCTTTTAAATCATTTTTCTATTTACCTGAGATAACCGGTTATTATAAGGTTTTATTTAAACAAATGTGTATTTCTTTAATATTCTGTATACAAATTGTATACTTCAATGGTGTTTTGTACTAAAAAAAAACCACAATTTAGTTTTTTTATATATTTTAAAACTTTATTACTTTTTTAAGTCACTTTTAGCTTTATTGATAGCGGCTTTTTAATGGTCATAATTGATGCTACTAAATGGATCAAGCTTATTCACATTAAATTAGAACGACCAGTCAATTTTTTTAGTTTAAGGTTTAGTATGTAAAAATTTTAAAAGTAAAGGGACTAGTTCTAAAAAAACAGGGGGGCCACACCCCCGTCCTAATGAAGATTCGTCCCTGATCGTTCTTATGGATTTGTAACGGGAGTAAGGAGTGTTTAAGATTGTTTATTTAAATTGTTTGTTAGTTTAATCCAATTTCAGACCTGTAATAAGCACTTTCAAGTTTTTGGGTTACGGAAAAAAAAAATTCCATATTCTGGTATGGTGTGGTGTGGTGCTGGTAATAACCATTTCGTTATAGTATTGGTAATAAGTTGTTTTGATTTAGAGGGTGTTTGAGGTTTTATTTTAAAGTTAAAAATGACTTATTGACTTATCAATGTGGGAAAAAGAGATTTTAAAGTGTTTGGATTAGTTTTTTAGTGGTAAAAATCAATAAATCAATAAGTTAAAAAGTATTTAGCTAACTTATTGATTTTTGTTTGTTTTTTCTTCAAATAAGACCGTAACATGTTCAGCACTTTGTCACATCACATTTTTACTTGTCATCTAAGCTTCATATACACTTGGATTTTAGAAAAAAAAAATCAAATGAAAAAGAGTCGATCATAATCCTTTGGTTTTTTCTAAAAAAAACCACAAAAAAGAAAAGAGTCAATCAAAATCATTATTTTCTTTCTCAAATTTCTCTTTCCTCTCACGAATTCGTCTTCCACCAATCACATTGAACAAAAGGTTTCTCTCTCTTGTCGCCAAGGTTGCAACGAATCCGAGGTAGCGACCCCCTAGCGAGCACTAAGGGGCAGTGTTCCACCATGGATAGCGGGCCTAACAAGTGGGGTCGCGAGTCCCACTCTTTTCAGCCTAAGTCATAAGTCATTTCAAGAAGTCACAAATTGTAACTTCTTCGAAACTCATTTTCAAAGGCTAAACCAAAATTCGTTTTAAAAGTCTTTCGTACATATCCAAACATTTTTTTAACTTACTGACTTTTCAACAAGTTAATATTATAAAAATGAGTTTTTAGATGAAATCTCGAACACCCCTTAATTTATTAGAACTATTTATTAATGACAGAAGCTAAATTCCACTTTTACCCTTAATTTAAAGAAATTGTAAAAATATAAGATGTCATTTTTGTTCATTTTACATGTGTAATCAAAATTTACCAAACACTAAAAACTTATCAAATTATTACGTTTTGGTATTAGAAAAACTAATTATGATATGTTTTTTCAAAAACTTTATTTTTTATATCGGATAAAATAATAAACACTTATATAAAATAAAATTAAAACAAAAATTGTTTTAAATAAGCAATTACAAACACACAAAGAAAATATAAAATGAATTGGATTGATAGGCTTAAAACTCAATTCTACTTTTATGTTCTTAATGTTTTTTTTTTCTAACTTTACGCTAGTAAAAAATCATACCTTTAAAATTTGCGATAAATGACGCCTAAATATAAGGGAGGTGGAGGGTGACATTGAGCTCGACAATGAATGGAACATCGCCCTATCAATTCGGCACGTCAAGATTTTCTGTGTAACTCGGTAAAACCTTGTTGAATCTCTCTCCTCTTGGCAAGCCTACGGGTGATGTGGGTGTGTGTTTGGGAGAATGTGGAGTTCGGTGTTGTTGGCACCACTCCTCCAAGCCTAAGACTATATCCTCTTTTGATGGGTAGCATATATTGAAGCTTTTTGAAGTCGTCTCCTTGCACGAAAATAGTATTATATGTGATAGAATTTAAGTGTCATGTTTCAAATTTATGAGTTACATAAAAATATACATCTTTTAGTTACTTTATTTATTGGTTCCTTAGGTACCTAGAATTTGCCAAAGAGTTAATTATCTAGTTATTACAACTTCAAAATGCATACACAACTCCAAAGACTATTTCTACAGACTTTATCAAACTTAATGATCTTATGTTATTGGTTCCTTAACTACCTAGAATTTGCCTTTCAAGCCTATTGTGAAGATCCAAAACATGATCCTCTTAGCTTTTCATCAAATGATATTGACATAATTGGTTAGATATTCAAACTGCAATGTTGTAAAAGAAAGAAATGAAACAAATCAATCAAAAAAACATGTCAATACTTTTTGCATTTAACCCCACGTGTAGCACAACATATTCTAGTAAAACCTTCAACATATAGCTCGTTTCAAATAAGAATCATTATAAACTCCGTATCTAAAGCTATAAAAACATATTCAAATCCTAAACCAACAATAACCCATAAACCCTAAACCACCTTCGATTGCACCCATGACACAATATCCTCCCGACTCGCGAAAAAAACACCCGGTTTTTCATCACTCGCCCTAAAAGGAGCCGAAAGCTTCGCCACATGTGACTCAAACGCGTTCCCAAGCCCTTGTGAATACTTATGAGTCCCCGCACCCGTACTAGCCGACAACAACTCGGGCAACGGCTCATAACGGTTAACCATTTCACTCAAAGTTCGCACCCATTCTTCAAACGCGGTGTGAGCCGCACCCACCGATAGTGACCGAACATTCAACCGCCATTCCTCGGGTGTCTTCGTGTGTAACCCCGGGTACAACCCGTACATTGTCCCCATGTAAAGTAACTCGTGGGCCCGCCCAATTAAGTTTCTTTTTCTACAAATGTCAATCAAACAATTGCAAAACGGTCTTCGCGCCTCAACTTCGGTTTCATTTAAGATTGTTTTGAATTCATTCTTTAAAGTTTCGATCCCGACTTCCGATTCTAATGAATCCACAAAAGAAACCAATCGCGGGTTGGATTTTTGTAAACACGCGATAACTTTATCCAAATCTTCACCCGATTCACAGTACGACACAACCGAAAGCAAACATCCGGATAACCGATCATCAGGGCGGACCCCACGCGCGACCGATGTGTCGAAAACCGTCACCAATTCGTCTATCTTTTTAGCCCTACCCAAACATTGAATCAAACAAGTACACCCCATGACATTAATCGCGACATTTTCTCGCGACATTTCTTCGAATAAATTCATCGCTTTTTCAACGTTTCCACCACTTCCGTATATGTTAAGCATCGCGGTGTAACTCCAACTATCCGGTTTGCAATTTACCGATTGTTTCATGTCATCGAACAAATTTTCGGCTTCTTCTTGTAATCCAAGATCGGCACACATACTTAATAAGGTGTTGTAAAGAATGAAATCCATTGGCCACCCGTTTGATTTCATTCTTTGCCATAGATTTAATGCATCCCGGGCCCACCTTGCTTTCCCGTAAATCTTGACCAATGAAGTTAGGGTTTTGGCGTCCGGTGAAACTCCGGCAGCCACCATCTCTTCGAATAAACTCCGGGCTAATCCCGGTTTTCCCGCCTTCCCCATTGCTTCTAATAATGTGTTGAAGACAACTAAGTTTGGTTTTACATCTAGAGATTTCATTTCTTGAAGAACGTATCGTATACCATCGTAATCACCTGCTTCACCAAACATTTTTGCTAAAACTGCAAAAGCGATTGCATCTGGGGTCCACCCGCTTGCTCTTCCTCTTTCGTATAAACTCATGACTTCTTCAACTTTACCTAACTTGGCATAGACGTCAAGAACAGCTGAGTAAGTAACTTCATCGGGCATTAGTCCTGTTTTGTACATTCTTTCAAACCATTCGACTGCTTTATCGAAAAGGTTTGATCTTTTTGCGCATGTAATGATGGTTGAATACGTTATGTTGTCTAATGCAACTCCGTTACTGATCATTTCGTTAGCAAGATCTTCAATGAGCTGAAATTGCCTTCCGAATCGCAAAGATTTCATGGTAACATTGTAGAATATGGTTTCCATAGGGAATGAATCTTGGGTTTTGAGCCAACTGAAGAAAAACATTGCCTTTTCCCATGGTTTCAAGCTATTGAGTACCAAAAGTGCGTTTTCTCTAGTGGGTGGATGTGGGATGTCTTCAAGAACTTTCAGGAAAGCTTCTTCGGAGTTTTCACAGTCATTAAGCTTCTTAGAAAACAGTTTAAGGTCTCTAATCTGGGGGTTATAAGAATAAGAGGTTTTTTTCTGTCTTTGAAGGTTAAGAACAGAAGGTCTAGGCTTCGTCGGGTTGACCCAAATCGATTTAGGTTTTGTCAACAATTGGGTGGTTTTTTGTGGGGGGTCTGAGAGGGTTGTTGTGGATAAGGTTTTGAGTTGATCGGCTAAAGAAGGGTTTTGCTTCTTGGTGTCTTCTGATAGGTCTGGAATCGATGGTTTAGGTGGTGATTTGGAGGAATTGCAGTAGAAAAATGGCGATTTCTTTGTTCGTTTTGGCGAGTTGAAGGTGAAGGTGAAGGTGAAGGGGATTTGATTGTGATGATGTTTTAGGTCTAATGAATTTGCAGTGAAGAAAGTGGAAGCCATTGTTGTGCAATAAAAAGCTTAGAGTTTCGAAGGATTACCTGTTAC